AAACGAGATACTTTAATCCAATTACTACTGAATTAATACTAAAAATATCAAATAAACAATTAATATTGTCTTTTGGTTGCAAATATTTATATACCATTACTATTAGCTATAATACTTTACCAATTATGATTAATTACATAACAAGTTTGCAAGTCATACAAATTGATTTAACATGTTGACTAGTTTTTTTCAAAAAAATAAAGTATATATATACGAGGTAGAAATAAATTGGTTAAAAAGTTGAGAAAATATTTTAAATTAGTCTAATAAAATGTGTAAGTTGGTAATGAGTAATGAGTTAAGTTACTTGATGCGCTGACCCGAACAACACGAAACCCGATCCGCCCGCAACCCGCCCGACCCAAAACCCGATGAACCCGCAACCCAATTTGCCCGCAACCCGATTGAACCCGAACCCGATGAACCCGCAACCCGACTAACCCGCAACCCGTTTGAACCCGAACCCGATTGAACCCAGCCCGAACCCGCGCGAACCCGCCCGATTGACACCTATAGTAGGGAGCGGAGGTCAGGCAAGATCCGGAAGAGCAAGGAGACGGCAAAACACCACCAAAATCTCTCCAATGGTCTTCTTATTGGAGAGGAAAGAAAACAAACCGATGGTAGATGGGTTGCCTCCCACCAAGCGCTTCTTTAACATCGTGAGCCGGACGGTTTGCTCCTCAAGTTTCGGTCCACCCTAGAACCTCCTTGAAGTTGAGGTTCTCGTTGGTGAGGTGATGTCTCAAGTCACGATCATTGGACGAGTCCATGATTGAGGGCTCGTGAACTTGAGTGGCTTTGAGGCTCCACCCACGAGACCTCTTCTTCTTTCCTTCTTCTCTTTGCCCCACACCATGTAATGCATCATCGATTTACCACCATCGCATCCGCCAAGAGGGGTCGTTGATGGTTTGGCCTTGGTTTGACAAAGAGCAGCAAATGGGTCCTTCTCCAAAAGCGCATCGAGGTCGGGTGGAAAGCTTTTATAGCCCTCGTAACTTGTGGATGCTTCATCCACCTCGACCTCGTCCTCATCTTGGACCTCACTTTCTTCTTCTACTTCTTCTACTTCTTCCTCAACCTCCCTTCCTTCTTTATCAATTTCCACCCCTTTGGAACACTCAAGATCTTCCTCCTCTTTAAAGCTCGCTTCCTCCTTTTCAACCTCTTCTTTCTCCTTCCCATTCATATCTTTAAGCACTGTTTGGAGGGTAAGATGCCATGCAAGATCATAGAAAGGATTCTCTTGCTCCTCCACACTCGTGACTTTGTCTTTAAAGTTCCTCTCGGGAAGCGGAAAGTGATGGGAGACGTCAATGTAACCTTCTTGTTCGTTCTCACCACGGGAGCTCTCCGGGGGTGAGTTCTTATTGCTCCATATGGTTATCACTGATCGCCCATTTCAACCTCCTTGTTCTCCTCCAATAATGGAGGCGATAGCTTGCACAAGCCCGTTCCACCTTCTCCTCCAATGATGAGAGGTGATAGCTTGCACAAGCTTGTGCTACCTTCTCTTCTAGTGTCAAACCGGGAGGAGGGAGGGGTTGGAAATCCGTGTTGGAGCTTGTTCTTGCAAAATTCTCTATGGCAAGCTCCAACTTGGACTTCGCTTCGGATTGTGGGAGATCCAAGTTCGAGCACCCTTCATCGGTGCCTCGAACAAACCTCTCCACCATGAGCTCCAATTGGCTCTTCGGCTCCGGTTGTGGAGTGGCACATGGTCTTGAAGGATGCCCCATGAAAGCTTTCATTGCCAACTCCAACTTAGATTTCTCCTCGACTTGAGGAGTGAAGTTTTCTTGATATGAGGGAGCTTCTTGAAATCCCCAATGGTATGCTTTTTCTTCTTGGAAGGGAGGTTGATCATGAAACCTGGTTTCTTGGCTTCCACCTTCTTGGTTACTCCATGAAGTTCCGGGGTACCCTCATTCGGGTTGTTTTGGATACCCCCATGTAAAATCAAACAAACACAAACCACCCTTCTAAGAGAAGAGTGGGTCAACAAACACAAAACAAATGGCTAAAGTAACGGCCTAACCCTTTTTCAAATAACCTAGAATGCTTCCCCGGCAACGGCGCCAAAAACTTGACTCGTTCTAACCGCAACATCCCAATCGACGGCCAAGTATAACCGCCGACCGGGTGTAGCATAGGGCAAGCAAGCAATAAGAATTTATCGTACCACAGGGATCTAGGATTACACTACTTCAGGTTTAGGGTTCGTATCTAGCCAACCTAGGATAGTGATTGATAGAATTAAACTAACTACCTAGACTAACCACTAACCTAGCTACTTACAAGGTGGGATCTCTCTTGGGTTGAATCGTCCTAGGTCCGTTCTTTGGATCGATGTTGGGTATCCTCCAAGCTTGATCAACTCAAATACACTACCGTTTGGAGATGAACTCCCTCGGGAATGACCCAGAATGGTGAATCGATGGATGGGTAGGCTCTATTCAACCTAGGATTTCGTATAATGCTAGGAGACCGGTCGAATCAACTCCTTCGGGGACTACCCGGACAATATACGATAGGAGTGACCCGAAGACGCCTAAAGGGGTGCTCTAAGGGGATTATCTCCCTCCTAGGTCAAAAGCTTAATACATGAAAATGGAAACACAACTCATGTCATTCATGAAAACATCCATCAATTAAGTAAAATCATCAATCAATCATGGAGTTTGTCACATACATCAACATTAAACCCAAATCTAGACCTAGGATTCTTAAACCCAAGAGAAGAGGGTGAGTTTCTAGAGAGAGAGAGAGAGGAGAGATTACAAAGAAACCTCTAGATCTTCATCTTCTTCTAGGCTTGATTCATAGCTTCCAAGCTTGATCAACGCCTTCAATTAAGCTCCAAAATCACTCTTTCTCTCACTAGAACTCCCCTTTGATGTTTTGGGTTGAAACCCTAGAGAAAGAAAGTGTTTCTTCTAAAAAAATAAGCTCCCCTTTCTTCTTCCTTCTGTTGCTGTTTTTATACCCAGATCGAGCTGAGTTCGTGACCTTCCAATTCACGGTCGTGAACACCTAAATGCGTCCTTGAACTCAGTGTCGTCTCCAAAATACACTACTTCACTCTCCGGGGTTCACGGTCTTAGAGACCGTGAACTGCCTTGTCGTCAGTAACCTCTGGAACCCTCTTGGAGACCTCGCTGTTTACGGTTTGTGGTTCCAATTCACGCCCTTAGGAGACCGGGAACTGCAGCTACTTCCTAGACGCCTGCGCTTTACTGTTACGGGACAATTGTCACGGTCTTTGGACTTTTCTTCGGTCTTTTTGTGCTTTTCGACCTCCAATCGTCCCAAAATTTGTCCTCGACCCTTCCACGCGTGCTAGGACCTGAAATGTATCAAAACAAGCACAACCTAGAGTGAAATATGTCGAGGTACGATAAAATGCAAAGGAAAACGATCAAGATATGAGGGGTAAAATGTGTATAATTTGACCAGAATCAAAGAATCTCCAAGGGAGCATGTCCATAAATTACTTGAGTTGGCGGGAAGTTTGAAGATCAATGGAGTACCCGAAGAAGCCCTTAGGTTGGGGCTATTCCCTTACTCACTTGTGGGGAAAGCACAACTATGGTTAACAATAGGCCACCCCTCTGGATAACCTCATGGAGCGGCTTTCTCAACAAGTTCATGAACCGGTATTGTCCACCTTACCATGTTTGGTTGCTAAATGTCCTGTAATATCTATGCTTTACCCTATCTATGACAAAAAAATCTATATTAGTCAACTTATGATGAATGCTCTTAATTATTTGAAGGCCTGGTATTAGAGGGTCGGTTGGTGATTTGCTTAACTTTATCATAAAAAAAATTGAGTCATTGAGCAAGACGAAATTGTTCACGGGTTGTAAATAAATTGTTTATTGATAGCTCTACTAGTTGGGGGGGGGGGGGGAGAAAAAACTTGAATGATTAACCGTAAGTGGTGTGAAAATCAAGGATCCTATAGATCTTTTCAGCTTTTTTTCTTCTTGAAGTGGTTAATAAAATTCAGCAATAAATTAGGACTATGAAAAGTAAAGAATCAAGGTTGTCCACTCGCGTTTCGATACGATCACAACTAGATTAAATCGGGAGAAAACATTCCAATTATCTTAATATCTATTAAACTCATAATGAAGTTACTGTTCCATAGGAGGTTTACTAAATTGAACAGCTGTCATTATTTTTTAAATAACTCGCAGGTGGGGCGCTTTCTAATTAAGTTGGGCATGTAAACTCATAATGAAGTTACTGTTCCATAGGAGATTTAGTGTCATTCGATGAGGATGTGTAAGAAACTACAAATTCGGAAAGTTAAAGTACCATAAGAAGTGGAATGGTTACAATCGGTTTGTGTTGGTTCTTGAGATTTAACAAAATATGTACGAATGTGAAAAATAATTAACATCAAATTAATTTAATCATATAAAAAAAATATTTGAAGAAAATTTAATTAATATGACATTTCTAATAAAATAGCAAATAATCACGTGTACAATATTTAACATCGAGTCATAAACGTTTATACTTGAATCTAACAAATAATGCAAACATTTAGCTTTTAAATTCATAAAATAAAAAATACATTATTTTTTTTATTAAGTGAATTCATTAAAACGATGTCATTCTATTTAGAAATCTTAAATCGATTATGCCAGTCATACTCATATCGATTGTGTTCGTGCCGGTTCATAACCGACACCGGTTAAACCATACCAACGGCATGATAACCATGATAGCAACAAAACATGCAGAGAACAACGAGATCGCACAACAATTATTATATATCTATTTTTTATGCAAAAGGTGCGATATTTTCCTAACCAAACCATAACATCATATTCTGCAGGCAGATTTAAATTGACGGGTGGGCAAAAATCAGAACAAAATTGCACCCAGACGCTGCGGAGCGAGCAGGTCTCCTCTATTTAACGTTTAACTTAAAAGCTCGATGGAGCCGATAAATTTGGTTGAGAAGCTTGGAAAAACAAAAATACCAAGAACAAAACAGATATACCAAGAACAAAAGGAAAAAGAGTAAAAACAAAAGAAGAACAAGATGAAAAGCAAAATGCGAGTTTAGTGATCCATGCGGTGTACGGTTCACACCATAGCTTTATCTCAACCACACCGCGTAGTTATAGAGGGAGAGAGACGAGTTGCCCAAATAAAATAGAAAACAAAACAAAACAAAACATCCTTCTTCTTCTTCTTCTTCTTCTTCTCCGCTCTTTCTCTCTCGCTCGTTCCGGTCCCCTTCCTCCTCCCCCTTGTCGCTCTCTTTTGATGCTCTCTTCCGATCCGCAGCGAAAGCTTCAGGAGAACAACTGAGAGCTCGCTCGTTCTGATTTAATCTATCCTATCTCTTCCCCGAGATCGCTGCGCCACCCAAAATTTCCCACGGATTCATCCCGTCGTCAAGTGAATGGGAAATTTCGTTGTCGGCGATTTGGAGCTAACGTGGGAGTGGGATTAGGGTTTTTGCCTTGCTGCGAATTACCGATTCCAATTGCTCGTGTTTTTGAAGGTATCAGTCACGTGTTTCTTTTGAAATTCGGTTTTGTTTTACTTCCATATTTGGGGAATTCCGGATCTCAAGAGGCTGGGATAAGGCTGTCTGAGGGGAAGGGGAAAGAAGACCAGTGTGGCATTTCCCTCTTCTTCCGATCTCCTGTAAGATCAAGAGGAGTCTAAGTTACCGTTGAGGATCCCAAACTGAAAATGCAGGATGCCTGAGTTGCAGTTGCAGGCAGGGAGACAAGAGAGAGGACTGCCAGTGTGTATGGGGAGAAATGTGCAGAATTGAGACGAGTGGTAGGAAGTGTGTTGAAATTGGACAAGGCAGAGGGAGAGAGGAGGAGGATATGGGAGGAGGAGGAGGGTTGGTGAAAGGAGTGGACAAAGTGAAGACTTCTTCCAAGTATAAAGTCAAGCTCTGGATTTTTCGTGCAACAACTTCCGTCTTGTTGTGGACCTGTATCGTTCAATTGACCACCGTCGGCGAGCTGTGGGGGCCTAGGGTTTTGAAAGGATGGCCTTCCTGTTTCTCCTACGAATCAGCTTCCGTTCTGCAGGAGAAGCTTCCGGAAGTTCCAGCTCGCCTTTTGCCACCCAAGAGTGAGCCTTCATTTTCTTTTACTCTTCTTCTCAGCTAATTTTGTTCTTGGGAAACCAGAGGGCGGTTCCGATCCTAGATTCTGACAAGATGTTTGTTTTCTTAGACCCGCTGTTTTTTCCCCCCCAAATAAAATTGGGTCTGGTCAATTGTTAATTAATTCGCTTCAATTATTGAGTCGTTGCCCTGCGCGAGAATGATGTCCTGGAAATGTAGTTTCTTGATGTAACCTCCTGAATCTGATGCTTTCAACATTGACATCGTCATTTAGTAATAGATGCATCGCTAGCAACCACATGAATGAATATGGTGGGTTGTTAGTGGGCTGTGCATGTGACCAAGTTATGCTGCTGCAAGTCATTCCATTGCTGAAGTCATTTTGGATCAGCAAAGTGTCGCTAATACCTTCCTTCTACCTTCTCGTTTCTCTGTCTTCCGTTTGTTTATCTTTGATAGCTGTGTTTCTTGCTGCTGATCCAACCCATTCTAGTGGCTTTCACTTCCCATGTCGGTCAAGGCAACTCTATCAGAGTTTAACTCGCATCTTGTTTTTTTTCTTCTTAAAAATTTAGGGGTTTACAAAAACAATGGATATCTTGTGGTTTCGTGCAATGGAGGTCTAAATCAAATGAGAGCTGCGGTGAGTGGTCAGCTGGTTTCCTTGGTCTGTATCTTTTTTTATCATGGCCAGTTATACTGACTACTATATTTCTTCTGCGTTTTTTCGAAACAATTTTCCGTGCTGGCTTTTTATGTCTTGCAGATATGTGACATGGTTGCCATAGCAAGATACTTGAATGTCACTCTTATTGTCCCAGAGTTGGACAAGACCTCCTTTTGGGCTGATCCCAGGTGTGTTCACTGCTCTTTTCAAATCACATCTGAATCCAGTTTCTTTTGATTGAGAGTTGAAGAAAAATTCTGCTCTGCCATTGACAAGCTCAAACTGCTGGGTACCTTGTTCTTTTTTTCGTGATTGACAGTGAGTTCCAGGACATATTTGATGTTGATCATTTCATCACATCACTCAGAGATGAGGTCCGGATATTGAAAGCATTGCCTCCCCGCCTGAAGAGGAGAGTGGAACTAGGGATGAGTTATTCGATGCCACCAATTAGTTGGTCAGATATATCCTACTACAGTGACCAGGTCAGAAAGTTATTGCTTGTGATGTTGAATCACACTTACATGTGATGCACTTCCATGTATTCATGCAAAGTAGATCAGATTCTAAAATATAATCTCCAAAAAGTGGTCATTTTATAGTTCCTTCATTTCTTTTATTATTATATTTTATGGTTATTCATCTACTCTTTTCCTGGTCTACAGATTCTTCCTTTGATACAGAAGTACAAAGTCCTTCATCTTAACAGAACAGATACAAGACTAGCAAACAATAATCAGCCTCTAGAAATTCAGAAGCTACGTTGTCGTGTGAATTTCGGTGCACTTAGATTCACTTCTCAAATTGAGGAGCTGGGTAAAAGAGTTATAAGACTTCTCAGGCAAAATGGTCCTTTCTTAGTACTTCACCTGAGATATGAAATGGATATGTTGGCATTCTCTGGTTGTACTCAAGGCTGTAATATTGAAGAAGTGGAAGAACTGACAAGAATGAGGTGAGCCATGGGCATATTTTGTGGGCTACTTTGGCTAACAATGTCTCAGCCTGAATGTTAATCTAACTTCGGAGTCATTTTATCCGATTCCATGAAACAGATATGCTTATCCATGGTGGAAAGAGAAGGTAATAAATTCCGATCTTAAAAGGAAAGATGGATTGTGCCCTTTGACTCCAGAGGAGACTGCCCTTACTCTGAGGGCACTGGACATTGATCCAAGCATGCAGATCTACATAGCTGCTGGTGAAATATATTGTGCAGAGAGGCGAATGGCAACCCTTGCAGCAGCTTTTCCAAAGCTGGTGAGTAGCTAATTGCTCTATCAGCTGGTAACTTGGCCTTGCTGCATGAGTGGTTGGTCCTTAGCTAATTGCCTTATGTTCTATAAAACAGGCGAGAAAGGAAACGCTCTTGGAACCATCAGATCTGAGGTTCTTTCAGAATCATTCGTCCCAGATGGCAGCTTTGGACTATCTCGTTGCATTGGAGAGTGACATATTTGTCCCCACCTATGATGGAAACATGGCCAAAGTTGTTGAAGGCCACCGCAGGTATTTTTTTCTGCATATGATTGTTTTTTGTGTCCCATGTGTTTCTTAAGAGAGGTTATAGTTCCTCCAAAACTAGTACCTAGGGTTTTGTTTGGCTTCAGACTCTCGGTTTTGGAGTACAAACTCCGGCCGTGATTTAGGATTCAAGTTAAATATTACGCCCCTTTCTTTTCATTCTGGTTGTGGAATGTAGATTGTCGCAAGTCCTCTTTTGATAATTTGTTGCCTCGATTCAGAAGATGTAATGTCCTTGATGCCATTTGTTTTAATAACTGTTAGACAATCGTGTTGCTTGGTGCATTTATCTAGGGTTGAATTTTTTTGTTTCGTTTGTAATACGGCTTACAGATTTCTTGGGTTCAAGAAGACGATATTACTGGAGAGAAGGCTATTGGTTGATTTGATAGACCAGTATACGAATGGGTCAATGAGTTGGGATGAGTTTTCGGATGCCGTGAAGGAAGCACATGCCACTAGGATGGGGAGCCCAGGCAAAAGGCTAGTGATCCCAGACAGGCCTAAGGAAGAGGATTACTTCTACTCCAACCCTGAAGAATGTCTGCAGCAGTCGGGCGAGACACTATTGAGTAGTACGTGATGATTCGTTTTATAGGAAAATTTAGTTAAGAAATTGGAAATTCAGATAGAAATATCTCCTCCCTCCCATGCATGGTGCTCCCATTTAGCAATGCATAGAGAAGATAGTGCAGAGGAGGTGGTATGATGGCTTGGGGCTGAAGGAGTGATGAGTGGAAGGAAGGAGGCTTTTGATGAAAGCAAGCGATATATCAATGGCGTTTAATGGTGGGGAGTGTTTCCTCAATCTTCTTATTAATATGCAAATAATTCATTTCTCATTGTACAGAAGAAGAACATGAAGAAGAGGAAAGAGCCCTGTCATTACAGGGTGTGAGAGTTCTGAAATCAATGAACCAAGACCAGGGTGAAAAGAAATACTTGTACTTGCACACAGAAAATGGGGTGGGGGTAATGCGTATATAGATCTGCTGATCATATGCTTTTTTACGAAGATTGTGTCCTCTACCGGAGGGGGATAGTTTAATCTTCCTTCCATTTTGTTCTCTCTCTCTCTCTCTCTCTCTCTTTTTTTTTTTTTTAATTTGTTCCACATTACGTATTGTTCTTGAGTTTTCAGTAGTGACAGTTTATTCTTCAAATCATTTAAGATTTGAGAGTTATCATTTGTTCCTTACTAGTGCTGGACTGTATTTGGTTCCCAAACCGATGTGGGTTGGAATGATGATTGATTGCCAACTATAACCCCATCATTAGGAGGCTTTGATTATTGCCTATTGATGTATGTATGTATTATTTATGGAAAAAGCAGTTCTTGGCTGAAAAAAAAGTGGATAATTTTTTCCTAGTTGACTGCAATCGAGTTTTGTTCGTGCCAAGATACTTCCAAACGCTTATCCTCCACTTTTCCACTTGTCCGTCACTCAGGCGCCTGGAAACTGCACCCACAAGCGCCTAAGGGCCTTGGTCGACCCGTTAGCACTTCGAAGCTTAAGTCAGTGCCCTTTGTTAGAGAGATAAGTGTTCAGAAATAGTATAGTGAGAGAAGCCAACCTGCGTAAATGCTATCGTCTGCCCCTATTTATACTCACCGAACCCGAGGTTGATCTCCGCCACGTCACCTCCCACATTCAATGCTCTGCGCCCCCAGACAGCTAACCGCCCTGTCAGACTCCTGACACCTGACTGGCATTCCACAGCTCTGCCAGGCTCCTGACACACGACAGGCGCCCGCAGGCCGTGGTCCACCATCCAGTTGATCGCCACCTGGCTTTTGATGCTCTATGTGACAGCTAACCGCCCTGTCAGACTCCTGACACCTGACAGGCGCCCCAGGCCGTGGTCCACCAGCCGGTTGGCCGCCACCTGGCTCTTGGTACTTTACTCTTTTGGGCTTTGTCCCCTAGCTCGCTGGGTAATACCCCCAACAATTGCCCCCCCAGTTAGGTGCTCGTGGCTTCGCCATCGAGCGCCTGACTGAACCTCTAGTTGTAACCCAGCCTTCTGCTTGGTTGCAGGGCGCTTGACACTCGGCGCCTGCATCGTGTTCTCACTTCTTTCTTGGTCCTACGAGGTGTGTTTGCTTCTCCTCCTCTGCGGTCAGACGTCCCGCCTTTGGCAGTGTCCCTTATCGAATACTCTTCTAGGTGCTCCTGTGCCTCTTGCCTGCCGAGGCGCCTCTTATCAAACGGGACGCCTTTTTGACTAACCCTTCCTTTCGGGCGCTTCATGGTGTCGTTCTTGAAGAGTGCCTTTATCCCTTATGCCCCCCTCACCCACGCTATGCTTGTCGGGGAAATTTGGAGAAAAGAAAATTCGAAATTCGAAATTCGAAATTCGAAATTTGGGAGTTGAGAAATTTCCCCGAAAAGGAGAGGGTGGGGGAAGCTCAAAGGTCCGCCTGTGATTTGGTGGCTCGCGAAGAGACCAAAAGGTGGGGGGGAGTGGAAGGGTTTCCTTCGGCATGACTGACACGTGTCATGCAACGGGTGAGCCTTCGTTTTTCTTTAAATACTCCTCCCCCCTTGTGATGCTGTCACTTTCTTCTATTTGTCCTCTCTCTAGAATCTTGCTCTGACTTCTCTCTAGCTTCCGCGCTGACTTCTGTCCTCTTTCTTCTCTGCTTTTCGCGTCCAACACTTCACTCTCGTCCAAAAGATGTCGTCTTCACACCAAGACAAGACTTCTGCACCCGGCGCCTCGGGCGCGGGCGCCTCCGGCGACGGTGGTGAAGCAAGGCGCCCAGTTCATCGTGGTAAGTGGTCTTTTCCTTTCGTCGATTTCGTTGAGTTTTTTTCTCTAGCCACTTAGGGTAGGGGCGTCACTTACCCCTTGTCCGCGTTGCGTCTGGGTCATTTGTTGGTTTAGAGCGGGCGTCTGCTTCCTCGTCAGCTGGGCCGTCAAGTTCGTCGGCGCCTGGCTTCTTGCTTGCCGACGGGTCATACAAGATCACGTCGTGGGAGAAGTGTTTCCCACCTGATCATTTGCCCACCGAGACGTCGCACTTGTCATTTGAGGTGGCTGGGCCCAACCACACGTCGACCGTCACCCTGGACCAGGTTCATGAATTGGTGACTAGTCTCCAGCTTCCCAGAGACTGGTGGTATGCGCCTCCATCGCCCCAGTCCCGGGTGGGCGTCTGTGGCCCCAAGTGGATCGGGCTCTACCAGGAGTACTTTCGTTTCGGGCTTCAGTTTCCCCTGGACTCGATCATGGAGGGAATTTTGACGACATGCGCCTGTCCTCTCGGGCGCCTATCCCCTTCGGTCATCACGGTTGTCATCCTCTTCAAGTTGAGGTGCCGAGAGCACAACGTGGAGCCCACCTTCAACTTGTTCCGATACTTCTTCAAGATGGTGCCTCTGGACAACTGCTTATCCCTCCAGACGCGCAAGAAGAAAAGCTGCCCCCATCACTTTGTCCAGAAATGCCCTAAGTTGAACCGAAGCTGGTTCAACGGGTTTTTCTTCGTGAAGGCCTATCAAGACTCCTTCTTTGCCAGTGGGGGCGCCTTTATGAGGAAATGGGGGTTAGGCCATGTCGATGACTTCAATAAGCCGGTGGTTTTGACGGCGTCTGAGAAAGCTGGCGCCTCCTTAATTCGCGAGGGGGAGCTGGCGCCTCCAATTATTGAAGCTTATTATAACAATGGTGTGTAGGCGTCTAGGTGTTCTGCTTCCTTATCCCTTTGTTTGCGTTATGTACTAACTTACTTTTGTCATATGCAGGGGCGGACTACTCGAGTATTGCCAAGCTCATGAAGAGTAGGCTGGCGGCTATGGCTGCGGAGGCGGCTGCTGCAGCATCTTCCCCACAAGAGGCGCCTGCTCGGCAAGAGGCGCCCCTTCAACCAGAGGCACCCGCCACCCGATCAGAGGCGCCGCCAGCCGGCCCCAAGAAGAAAGGGAAGAAGAGGGCGGTGAAGGGTGGCACTGCTCGGGCGCACACGGCAAGTGTGGCGTCGTCCGCCCCGGAAGAAGGCGAGGGGACGCCTGATGTCGACCCCGCGGAGAAGGAGGTTAACTCCGCTGAAGAGGAGGAAGAAGAGGAGCCTTTGCTCCGAAAGGGGAAGAGGGCGGGCTCCCCCTTAACCTCGGCCAGCAAGAGGGCTGACAGAGGAAAGAAGAAGGTGGGCGAGGAGGACGCCTGCGAAGAGGACGCCTTCAACGAGGTGGAAGTGGAGGCGGAGACTGTGGAGGACGCCCGCCTGCACTTGAATGAAGAGGGGCGCTACGTTGGCCCCGATGGGCGCCCCCCCATCTTCCGACCACGGCGTACCGAGGTGGGACGGGTCAACATGAACTGCTCTCCCTTGGTCGTCGTTGACCGAGGGTGTGCCATGGGCTTGGCAATCGCGGCCGCCAAGTCCTGGCAAATACCGTCCGAGGTGAGCAGTGATCACCATTTTGCTGAACTGGCCCAAGTGGGCGCTAAGGTATGCCTTTTTGTACTTGTATTTTCAGATCTTTCTTACTTATTATTTTGCGCCACTTGCTGACCCTTTTCCAATGGTTGCAGATCCTTCTTTTTGCTGAAAGAGGCGCCCGACACCTCAATGAGACTAAAAGGGAGGCGCTCGAGGCTTCCTCTTCGGCTGCTCAGCTGAAGTTGGATTTAGAGAACGCAACTGCACGCCGCGAGCAGTTTACGAAGGAGTGTGAAGACGCCCAGATGACGGCCATCATGGAGTTGTCGCGTCTGCAAGGCGCCCTGGACGAGGAGCGCAATAAACTGGCCACCCTGCAGGCCGAGAAGGATGCGCTGGTGCAGGAAGCTGGCGCCCAGGCCAGTGAAATCGACATCCTCAAGGAGGAGAAGAAGAGGCTGAAGGACGCCCACAAGGACAGCGAGAAATCTTTGAAGAGGGCCCGGAAAGAAATTTCCGAACTTCGGCAATCTTTGGACAACTTGATGGAGTCCGAGACTGGGAAGTCCATGTGCGCCAATGCCATCCTGACCGGCATTGAAATCTTGCGGGGGAAGTTGCAGAAGGACCACCCCGACCTTACTTGGGATCTCTCGGAGATGGCTGAGTATGTGATCGGTGGGATGGAGACGCCTCGCGGGACAAGTGGGGCGCCCGAGCCATCTGCTCCCCCCTCTCCTTCTCCAAGGGCGCCCAGTGCTGGGGATGCAAATTCAGGCGCTGACTAGACTAGCGGTCATTGGGTGTTATCTTTTCTTATCTTGTAATGCCGTCCTTGTGTTTTCCTTGTTATACAAGAATTTTTCCTTGCCAATCGGCTTTGCTTCCATTTTAACTTTCACTTTATATTATCAATCTTCGCGTTTCTTGTGAGGGCGCAATGTTTGGGCGCTTTTGCAAAAGGTGGGCGCGAAACATGGCGCTTTGCTATACTTAGATTTGCCGGGCGCTATTTTGGGGCGCTTTTATTCAGAATTACTTAGAATACGGTATGGGCGCAAATGGTATGGGCGCTATATGGGGCGCAATGAGGTGGGCGCTATGTTACTACCTCTTTAGATATCCGCTTTCACGTATAATAATTAATCCGATTCCAAAAAGTTTGGGCGCAAAATTGGGGCGCTTTACATGGAGAGGGCGCGAGTAGGGCGCTTTACGGGATAAGGCGGGCGCAAAACTAGGCGCTTTGGAAAACATAACACAGAAGAAAGACAACTCCGCCATGGGATGGACTAAGATTGCATGCTTACTCATCTTCAGGCGCCTGTTCCCCTGTTCTTTGCATGGTACTTGTCTCCGACTCAGGCGCCTCATATTTGCGCAAATTTTGTGCATTCCACGTCCTTTTGACCTTCTTGCCTGATAGGTGTTCCAGCTTGAATGTATTTGGACCAATGACCTCTTGAACACGGTATGGCCCTTTCCACTTTGGGGCCAACTTCCCTTCGGCAGCTCTTGGGCGGAAATCCCTTTTTAGGACAAGGCTACCTCTCACGAGGTTGTGCGCCTTCATCTTCTTGTTGTAGTACTTTGCCACTTGACCCTTCATTGCTTCCAATCGCAACACCGCCATCTCTCGGCGCTCGTCCAATAGGTCTAGCTCATCAATACGCTCTTGGGCCTCCATAGACTCGCTTCGATGGGTCATCCTGAAAGTTGGGACACGCATCTCGACAGGCAACACCGCTTCACTACCATAAGTTAGCGCGAAGGGCGTTTCGCCCGTGGCTACTGTGAAGGAAGTCCTGTGCGCCCATAGAACACTTGGTAACTCTTCAACCCATCTTCCCTTGGCTTCTGCCAATCTTGTGTGTAAGCCGTGCAAAATACTCTTGTTTGCTGCCTCGGCTTGTCCGTTGGCTTGAGGGTAGGCCACTGAAGAGAACCTTAACACGACCCCATTTTCATCGCAAAACTCTATGAACTTTTTGCA